GCACAAAGTCGAAGTCTTGGATTCCCGAATGCCGAAAACAGCAAGTCACACTGAGTACGAGTACAGCAGCAGAGAACTGGTACGAGACTGGTGCCTGTACCGTACGGGGAGCCGGTACAAGTACCGGTGACACGTACGGTACCAGGGGCATTTCTGCAAAGGCCCCAAGGGCAGAACTGAAAAATGCAGTATTTGAAAGTGGCGCCCGAATTGCAGCATGGCGCCAGTTGTCCAAAATCCTACGGTACCAAAGGAGGGGTTTGGAAAAAGGGTGCCAGGCCGAAAACGGGATCCAGCCGAAACAGCAAAAGATAGACCAGGGATCGAGCCCTGGCGAAGTCCATAACAGGGACACTAAATGTTTTGAAAGGTCCTACCAGGTCCTTTCGGGCATACGGATTGAAGCGTCGGAGTGGCATATATTATCAGTTTTCTGCCTTGCCGGACCAGGGGAATAGGAACGTGAGTTGCACTCCCCAGAATGGACATGGAGTCAGGACCATAAGGACCTGTTTTACTCTCGTCTTCAGTCTACCAGTGTGAGCCTCATCTCCGCCTCACATAGTCATAATTTAGCAGGCCTGGTCAGGCAAGATCAATAGTACTGTAGTCATGGACGAAGATCGGCAACGACTACAGCAGTCTACGATTAGGACAATGGAAGTCGTCCTTTTCAGTCAAGGGTCAAACCAGTTGTATCTGATAACTAATGTATTCTAAGGAACACTGGACGCAGTTCCCAGCAGGTCGTGCTCCTCAGAGTCCCCACCAATGGAATCGGAGCCGTCTCACTGGGGGATGCTCTTACCAACTCCAGAAGGTGGACCTCAAACAGACGCGTTCTGTAAAAAAAAAAAAAAAAAAAAAGAAAGGCCTGTTTTTAAGTGTTTTAACGATTTCAAAAAGAAAGAAAAAAGAAAAAACTGTTTTTATCAAGTTTTATGTTACTGGCAACGTTTTGCTGTCAGGAAGGCCAATCCACTAGAGCTGTAAGCCATCTTTTTTTTTTTTTTTTTTTTTTTTTTTGAAAACGCCCCCGGCAGTGTTAGTGGTGCTGATAAGAGCAAACACCACTAGCACCTGGGAAGCGGCTCCATCTATTGGTGGGGAGCATCACCTGCTGGAAAACGGGTCCAGCATCCCATATACAGACTTTTTAGAGAAGCTGTACGCCATCTTGGTGATTGAGTGTGTGCACTGTGTGGATATTGCGTAGTTTGTATGTTGAGGTACGGGTCTGGTCAAATACCCTGCTCTTTCAGACTGGCTGATTTCTCGACCTCTGACGAGCTGATGTGAGCTGTTCATAATGTGTACTTACCTACTTTGACACTACTTTTGCCCCTCTATCCACAGGAGGAATGAGAACATTCCTGAGAGGAACCTACGGCGATGTTCAAAAACGGGGAGCCTCTTTGCTGAAGTGTCTCCAGCTGAACAATGGAGTGATGAAGATAGAAATGTAAGAGCACTTCCCTGCAGTTGCACGTACAGAGAGTCTATGCCTGCATGAAACACCATCCAGAGAAAAGCCCTGAAAAAAAAAAAAAACGGAAAACAAAACATCATCTCCCCCAAAAAACAACAGTTGTGTATGTTACTATGTTCCCATGTTCCAAGCGGAGATTCATCCATATTTCGTACATTTGGCCAGCATATTTCGTACATTTGGTGAGTGAAAAGAAACCCCGGTGTGAGTAGGGACTAAGG